TGCGCGCGCGCGAGAGAGAGAGAGAGAGAGAGAGAGAGAGAGAGAGAGAGCGAGCGCAGGCCTTCTGGGCAGAGAGAGGAAGGAAGAGGAATCTAAGTGTGGGGGAGAGGGAAATGCAAAGAGAGACGGAGAGGAAACAGGAGGTGTGAGACGGAGGGAGGCAGCGCCGTGGGATAGGGCGTAGATTATTAATATGAACGGGTTAATTTAAGTTGTAAGAGCTGGTTAGGAACAAGCCTAAGCTGAGCCTGAGCTTTCATAATTAATAAGAAGTCTCCATGTCATTATTTGGGAGCTGGCGGGATGGCGGGACAGAGAAAGAGTCTTTACAGACAGGGGAGCCCCAAATTAAAAATGAGACATCACTGTGCACATGCCAGCTTTCTAGTGTCCAGAGAGCCTGCCTCCACTCGGGGAGTAAAGGAGGTAGCGCCACATGGCTTGAATAGGAAAATAAACTGTCAGTCAACCCAGAAGTTCTACTCCAGGTACTTAAGCTGTAAGAATAAAGCCCCAGAAGGCAGAGTGTCTGTGGATCTGTTGGCGACAAAATGACTTGCAGTGGACTACCTTGCCAAGAGATGGACAACTGTGTATTTATTAACCAGCCTCTAAATTGCTGGCCCTTGATTGAGATGACCAAACTTTCCCCCAAACTTGGGTCTTCCAGGGCCAGGCTCCAGCGGGAGGGCCAGCTGCATGCAAAGCAGAGACCTGGAGCACCCAGCCATTCATGGCTCTGCCCATAGCCGGAGAGCCTTCTCTTGGTCTGGCCTGCCCTTGCCTGTAAGATGCATCTCCCCAAACCTCTTAGGACACTCACAGGCACCCATTCCCTTTATTCCCCAGAGCCTCCCTCATCTGTGCCAGAGCTCACCTTCCTTTTTCAGTTTTTACACCTGTTTGCCAAGTGTCCATTTTTTTAAATAATCTCTCCCAAAAGACAAACATAGATTGATACATATACTATGCCCACAATAATGCTACAGCCACAGAGTCCAAACATCATAAAACACACGCATACACACATGCATGCTCGCGCGCGCGCGTGCGCGCGCGCGCGCACACACACACACACACACAAACACAGAGGGAGAGAGAGCAAGCAGAAATTAAAATCGCACACACACACACAAACACAGAGGGAGAGAGAGCAAGCAGAAATTAAAATTTAAACTGGCATAGACAGAACTAAAACTGTATTTTCCCCCACCTGCTGTGAGTTCTACTCAGGACATGGAGGGTCAGCCAGCCGGTCTGATGCACTACATATGTGCACAAGGGCCATGCTTGACTCTTAACTAACAAACAACAGCAGATCCATCTAAACACAAGAAACCACCTGATTACCCAGCCCTGAAACACCAACCCCAAAGCCAAGACCTTCAGATGGGGAAGGGAGTGCCTTTGGGATGTGGAACCTCCCAGAGAGCTGGTCAGGGCAGCAGGCAGAAAAGGCTCAGAGAATGCTCCAGTTGTCTCCTCCTCCAACACCCCCTCCCTTACAGCCAGCAAGCTCTACAGTGCATACAGGGGGATTTTTTATGTTTTGACTCAAAAGCAATACGTCTTTGAAATTAACCAAAGTAGACTAAACTTTCAGAATGAAGAAAGCCCCTTGGAAAGTCAGGCTTACTACGTCTTCTCGGCTAGAATCAGGGTGCTGGCTGTATATCTCTGGGGGATGAATATGCAGGAGATTGCTGGTTAACAGCTCTCTCTGGGAAAGTAGACATGGCAGCTGCAGCAGGGCCCTGTGGGTATCCCAACTTCTCGAAACTCTTAGATTTCCCCCCAGCTCCTGTGCCAGGTCTCCACAGCCCTCCAAGGAGGCCACTCACAGAGACATCTACGCCAAGCTCCTGCTACCTCTGAATCTATTCTGATCATGTCTCTGACTCCCTTTCAAAGCACAAAGGAGATGACCATGGGACACCACTGGACTCCTCTGGATGGCGGGGGTGTGCTTCTAATGGTCTGAGAACTTTTGCAGGGTGGAATCTTAGTGGCCTGTGGGTGTCTATCTCTGTGGCAGGGGGAGACTGGGTCTCGGAAGAGCAGTAAGGTCAGTCCTTGGTGGTGCTCGGAGTAGACTCTGATTGCCACTGGAGGTCTCTTCCCACATGAGAAGTCTTCCCATGAGCACTGGAGACCCAACCAATCAATGGCAGAGAGAAGCAGGGGTGGTGTGCCTAAGTGGGAACTCTCCCACCTGATGTCAGCAGCTAGCCCTGTCATGCTCTTGGGGACAGCTGGGACAATGGCTGTATAAGACAGGGTCAGTTCCCTGACTCGCTTTCCAGGTGGACCTGAGATACTCTATCTCTGCCACCACTCTTTGCTACAATGACCTTTAACCCTGACAAATCAAGCACTCTGCACCTAGGTGTAGGATTGGTTTTCGGAATGGCAAACAGACATCTCCTGTGCTCCTTAAGAGGAGACAGGAATGCCACCAAGACCCAGCACTGACTTCCACACAGGACTTACCGACTCCCTGTCCCCTTTCACAAAGGAGGACTTGAACGACTGCTGGGCCCTGGGAGATGGGACGCAACCTCAAACTGCTGTATCAGGAGATTCACACGGCCCTGGGACAGTGAAGATACGGGACCAGTCAAAACAATCCTGGGACTTTTGCCTGAATGACCTTCTGAGTAAGGGGTCAGAAGGAATGAAATGAGACGCAAGAGACACAGTTGCCGACGCCAGGGTTGGAACGCCCGGGCTCAGAGCGCCGAGCTCCATCAACTCTTCCTCTTTTCTTTTCTTTAATCAGGGTTACAGTTCACCAAACCAATTTGTTTTCTTTTTAAGGTTTGATTTTCTGACCTAAAATAGTTCCTGCTGACAAGCAAGATTAATCTTTGGTGTGTGGAGTGTGAGTGCGTGTGTCTGTGTACACGTGAAGGCCGGAGGTCAACCCTGAGCATCTATCTTCCTTATTTACTACCTTTTGAAAGGCAGGGTTTCCTCTTGAACCTGGAGCTCACTGATTGAGCTAGTCTGGTTGGCTACAAGCTCTAGGGATCTCCTGTCTCTGCCTCTCCAGCACTGGGATTGCAGGCATGGTACTCCCAGCACTGGAGTTGCAGGCATGGTGCTCCCCAGCACTGGGATTGCAGGCATGGTGCTCCCCAGCACTGGGATTGCAGGCACATGCTGCCAGGCTTGGTGCTCTTTTGTGAGTTCTGGGGAATTAAACTCAAGCCCTTGTGTTTGCATGACAAGCTCTTAAACAACTGAGCCATTTCCCCAGGTTGAGGGCTTTTTGTTTGTTTGCTTATGAATATTTTAAACTATTTATTTATGGTGCTGCAGACTGAGCACAGGGCCACTGGCATGCTGAGTGAGAACTCATCATGGTTCCAAGGTGAACTTCTGGCTCCGTCTGTTTCTTCCACCAGGCACATCCTATTCCCTTATCAGACTCTACCCCCACAGAGCCTTTGACACTGGAAATTCCTATGGCCTTTCCTCTGTGTGACACCCCTCCTGCGCACTCACAGGGCTTTTGCATGTTTTCTGTCATTTACCTGTTTCCCATATGTGTTGAGCCGTGGAAGCCTCTGGTGCCTGCCTCAGCCCAGCAGTGGTGTGTGGTAACTGCTGGTATTAAACCTTCTCAGAGTTAGTGCCAGGCACATAGCACACGTCAGACAAACATCTGGATGGGGCACCTACCTCCTGGAAACTCTTATTTGATGTCACATCGCAGGCAAGTTTGAGGGCAGAAATCCAATCAGTCTAGGAAGAACCAGGTAGTTATCCCCACCGCTGCTCCTTCCAGGGGCCACCATGAGCACCACGTGTCACAGCCTTTCCCTTTCCCTGTGTGGCTTAGCCAGCTTTTGTCCCTTCATGGCTCACACTCTCCCGTGGCTGCCTTCAGGCATGACCTAGCATCTCACAGAGCCTGTAGGCCTCCTGTTGGGCCGTGTTACCAGCTTTCCCTCACCCTGCCATGCTCTCCAGTCTTCTGAGACTCTGAAACTCAGGACCTCTGCACCATCCAAGGGTTCTTCTTCATTCAGAAGGCTATCCCCTCCCTCCCATCAGGCCTGGCTCTGAGATCAAGACACCACTGAGGCCTGCCAGCCATCATCTATGACAGCAGATATGTCTGCCCTAGTCTTCCTACCCCAGAAACCCATTCAGTGCCGCTCCAGAAATGCTATGCTCAGGAGACACCAGCTGGAGACGGTCTTCACCAGAACAGGCAGTCCATGAGGGCAGACTCTTCATCTTGCCCACCATGTCTCCAGATCTGGAGTAGTGCCTGGCGTGGGCGTGAATAAATGCCTGTGGGATAAGTGAAATACTGCACAATACTGTAGGGAATCAGGGCCTAGCACCTCCCTCAGATATGCCACCACACCGAAGGGTACCTATGCATCCCTCTGTCTGTCCCCAATGGCTGGCTGTAAACCCTGCTTCACCCCTTCCAGGACCCTCATTTCTAGTCAGGCAGACAAATTCTCCACAGCCCAAACTATCTTTAGTGGGTAGGGTTGGCTATGCCTAGGAAGCAGGCAGCAGCTTTGGTCCCTCCCTCTCTCCTCCCTGGCCCAGAGCCAAGGGTATCAGCTCAGAGATGGGCCACAGAGCACTGGGCCTTCTGGGCACCCAGCCCTGGCTTGGGCAATCCACACCTACAGGGGCACAGAGGAGGCTCAACACATTCCCTCCAGCCACTCAAACCATCTCTTCAGGAGTACCATCCTTCCAGACAGGACAACCAACTGCTACACCCTGCACCCAAAAAACTACCAGTCGGAGAGGCCAGTGTCCCTGTCTGCTAAGAAAGAATGCATCTGCACTAGATGCGGCCACACAGGCCCCCTAACACAGGAAACGGACTTCTGTCTCGAACTTGACCGTCTAGCCTGGTGTCAGTCAGCTCTGAGAAGTTAATAGTCATAGAGTTATTGTCATGCTCCATGGCTTCAAGGCTGTCACACCCATCCCAGAGTCTCTGGGTACCAGGAGACACAGGCCAGCAGCTGCTTCCCACCAGGGGCCACACACAAAGTTCTCTTTATGGAAAGACAGGCTGGCCACGGACAGACCCAGCATCAGGGAAAGCCAGGTTTGGATTTTCTCCAAGGATACAAAAGGCTTTTGTCTTGACTCCTACCCCATGCCCAGCCTCCTCAGTGGGGACAGTCCAGGACCCCCTAGGCTGCCACACCTGCCATTGAGGATAGAAAGCACTGGACATCTCCACATTCCCTATGAGAAGCTTATTGGGGACCTACTATGTGCTAACAGTGGAACTGCAGCAGAGCCTGCACATAGCAGAGCAGACAGAATGACACTGCTAGCCACTGAAAATGTCATTCACTGTTGCCATGGATGTAGTCTCCCGTGTGCGGGCCTGCATCACAGTGGTCTACATGGCGATGAGCACAATCTGCTCACTTAGGGGCAGATCCAGCTGCACCACACGTGCCAGACTCACTGAGAAAAAATGTAGGTGTGAGACTATCAGAAATTAGGGTGGAGAGATGGCTCAGCCATTAAAGGCTAGGCTCACAACCAAAAATATAAGAAATCTGATTTTCAGAAATCAGTGTCCCTTGGGCTGGGGATAGAACTCAGCTGGTAGGGGCTTAAGCCATAGAAGGTAAGAACCAACTCCATAAGTTGTCCTCTTACCTCCTCCACATTCAAGCTAACACACACACACACACACACACACAGATACACACACGCACACACAGATACACACACACATACACACAGACACACAGAGATACACACAGACATACACACACACACATGCATACCACACAGATACATACACGCACACACAGATACACACACGCACACATAGACACAGACACACAGAGATACACACAGACATACACACACACACATGCATACACACACACACACACACACATACACACACACAGACACACACACACAGAGACACACATGCATACACAGACACACACACAGATACACACACACAGATACATACACACAGACACACACACACAGACACACACACACACAGAGACACACATGCATACACAGACACACACACACAGACACACACACACACAGAGACACACATGCATACACACACACACACAGAAACACACACACACACACACACACACATAAACACACACACACAGATACACAGAGACACACAGAGACATACACACACGGATACACACAGACACAGACACACACACGCACACAGATACACAGACACACACACAGATACACACAGACACACATACAAACACAGACACACGCATAGGCACACATACACACAGACACACACACATACCCCACAGCACACTCCACAAGTTGAAACTGTCTGGGGAGGGATAAATAAAGGTCCTAATATAGCCACACAAAAAAGATAGGAGCCAGGCAGTGGTGGCACATGCCTCTAATCCCAGCACTCTCGAGGCAGAGACAGGCAGATCACTGTACAGAACGAGTTCCAGGACAGCCAGAGCTATACACAGAGAAACTCTGTCTCAAACAAACAAACAAAAAAGGTAGGAACTGGAAGGGAAGTGGCCTAGAAAACCCAGGAATATTGTCACTAAGATGGAGCCACCAAATACCCTGGGGAGGAATTCTGTGGTGTAGATAAAGTAACTCCCTCCTTGGGGCTCATATCTCAGTTTTCCTCACTAGAAAACGCCCCCCTGGACTCTCTCCTTGGGCCTCAGGAGTTGGGTCTATGGTTCCAAGAATGGCCTCTGTCATCCATGGGCCAGTCTCCTGAAGTCCCAGCCAAAGGGCCTGGGGGTGGAGGGGACCACGAAAGCAACTCAGGAAGAAATGGAAACCCCCAGGATTCTGTGGGAGGCAAAGGGGTAGGGGCCGGAGAGGGGCCATATCAAGCCCCAGCAGCCCTTGGCTTCGGCCCAGCAGGAACTTGCCTGCTCCATCCAGAGACTGGGAGCCGCCAGCTCATGAGAGCGGAAGAGGTCAAGGCTGGATTTCCCCTTTCCAATATGGCAGAGGGGAGGAGGGGCTGACTGGGGGAGCATGCAGAGTGCTGTGGCAAAGTCTTCAAAGCTGGGAAGAGATGGTCACCTGGCCCTCCACTGCCAGCATCAAAGAGAGACACTCAGACAGACACCGTCACATGGGACAGGTCACATCTGGGTCAGTGCTGGGACACGGGAAGGGAGTGACCTATTTCTAAGGTTCCCCATCAGGAACCTCCCTGGGAGCCCAGACGTCTGTCAGAGCCAGACAACAAAAGGTGTCTGGGAAGAGCCTTAGGAAGGGTGTGGTGGGGGTGATAGGCTGGTGACTTGACCCACAGCTCTCCTCCCAGCCAAGGGGCCCTGCCTCCTGCGAGCCATCAGAGTAGCCAAAGCCAGGTCCCGCGTTCTAAACCACCTCCCCTCCATAGTACCTGTACCTGTACCTGAATGTGGCTGCCCTTGGCTCTCCAAAATAGCCCAGCAATTTTCAATCACAATGGAACCAGCAGGTGACCCCAATTGTCTCAGAATCCCTTAGCACAGCACTCCCGCCCCCCATGTCCCGCTTTCCACTCTGTCCAGAGAGGAAGTCATTTCTCATTCCGCTTTGAAGGAAACATATTAGCTGAGGCTCTCGGGGCCCTGTTCATAGATGTCTTGATCAGTTAGCAGTGGGAGTGTCTGATCACACTTGCCAATAGCTGATGAGCACACCATACAGAGGGGGCAAGTTAATGGATACTTCTCCAAACAGGGATAGATAACAGCCTGGAGAATTTGCCAAAAATCAGAAAGAATCACGAGCTTTGAAATTCTCAGTGTGTGCTGTGACCCTGGCTGGGTTATAACCTGCGATATTGTGGGCCTCAGTTTCCCCTTTCTGTAACTGGATAGGAATGATATGAATATTAGATGATACAACACTGGCATCCAGAGTCCTGAGCCTGGCATGTGCCAGGAGCTGATGAAAGACAAGCTACAGGAACAGGATGGAGGTAAGTCTCCATCTCCAGAGCTGAACCCAGGGGTTCAGGGGGTTAATGAAGACCCTCTGAGCCTTTTACAGGATAGGAGTTCCAAGGGGGCCCGAATTTCAACTGCCTGTCCAACATGACCCAGCTGTGTATTTCCTGAAGACAGACAGACAGCTTTTGCCACCTGTAAAACAGACACCAGAGCTATTGCTTCCTAGGATACGAAGCCGTGGCAGGGTGGGGTAGGGGTGGGGTGTCACAGGTGGCACTTACTGGATTGTTCCTGTGGCTGCCATCCTCTCTAGTCCCACTATGCCTATGAGTCACCCCTGGAGACACCCAGCTCTGTAGGCCCATGCTCGGACAGTTTCTTTCTTGCCTACAGAGGAGCTGTACCTCTTGACCCAGAGTAGAGTTGGCTATAGTCTTGCAGCCCTTATGTCCTGCCTGAAGGACCAGGTCTGTGCCCTCCAGCTTGCTTGTCCAAAACTCTTTTCCCATGACCTTGACCTGCCCTTTCCTGACCTACTTGCCCAACATACTCATTTTCTTCCCCCAATACTAACTCAGCCATGATAGTAAGACCTCATCAGACTGGTCCTGAAGACAATGGCACCTTACAGGGACAACCAGGTGACTTTAACCCTACTGGCCTTTGATGTGATAAAATGGGAACAGCCCCATGCCTGTCTCCCACTGCTTCTTACCCCTTCTCAGCTGTGCCTCCAACACACAGTGAACGTGCTATAAAGGTCTGAAGACTCAACTGCGTGACAAGTCTCCCTAGTCCGTTTCCATGCCCTTAGTGCTCAAGGAGGCCACCCATGCTTTGCAGGATATTTGAAATTCCAACACACACATGCTTTCTTTGTAAGGAGTTCTGACTCCATCTTGGTGGACCACTAACCCAGAAACTCTACACCCAAGAGCCAGCTAAGCCCCAGGAATGCAAATGTTTAAGCCGGCCCCCTCCCACCCCCTCCCAACCAACCACGCAGACTAAACTAAGGAGGTTTAAGAACCATCCCATCTCGCCCCCCCTCCCCGCCCCCGCCTGTGGCTTGGTGTTTTGGGGAAGTTTTGTTTTGTTTTGATTTCTTTCTTTTTCATTTTTTTTTCTTCTAGTGGGACAGAGGAGGCTAAAAGGAAGTTAAGATTACTTCCAGTAACTATAATTACTCTACTGCCTTCTCTAGAATCACAGCCAAAGTTTATCCCCTTGCCGTAGCCTAGAGAGTGGGAGTGGGGATCTTAGGAGTTCAGACGTTGGACAGTTGGTAGGGATGGTGGGGGTGGGTGTGGCTTTAGAGGAGGGAGGGGGTCTTCCCCTGGAGCCTGGTAAAGCTTGGTCCCTCCTGCCACACTCAACTCCATTCCACTCATTTCAACGCAAAACCACCAGTGACATAAACAGAAATACAGAGCCCGCCTTCAGTGGCCCTGTAGGAGGAAAACCATCAGCTTGTGTGGGGAGAGCCAAGCAGGGCTCCACCCTCAGTCCACCTTCAGAAGGAAGGTGGGGATGTGTGGGCAGAGGCCTGCTTTGGGGAGGAAGGAGACAGCCCTGACCCTTCGAGGGTGACACAGAGGCTAGA